TAATTCAATTATAAATGTCCCTAAGAGTTGAGTGCATGTGGGAATAAAAGTTACTTATTATTACATATTTTTGGGTTCATGGGTGGAAATGAGAGCAGAAGTGGATTTAAAATAAAGACATTTCATAACATCTTTCTGATTTTTCTTAACCTTTGTAATGGTTTTTCCTTTTCCAAACCATCTATGATAATTAAAATTGTGGTAAAGAGAAAGAAAAAGTGAGATACATGTCAAGTAGTATTGACTCTATACCCACAAAAGAATAAAAGCATTAAATTTAAGAAAAAAGTTGATAGACCATCATCAAGGTGCATAGGAAGCTCAAGTTACACACTATTTCCTCACACTACAAGATATAATTGACCTCTCTCAAGCCATATTCCACCATTCCACTATTTTTTCCCATGCCATATTCAAACCATATTCCCCAATCTCTCATTTGAACCATTTCACATTCCTGGTAGCCATTTTCTACTATTCCATTTTCCCTCTGTTATTCTAGTACCACCTCATGGCATTTCTCGCTCCTTTTATGTCATGGTGCTCCATTTCACATCCCAGGACCTAGCTATATTCCACCATTCTTTTGTCCACCACCTTTTCATATTCCAGGCCAGAATTAATTTTCTTCAGCCATTATTTGGAGTTCCAGATTTTTGTTTCACTCTTAAAGTAATATAAATTGGCTCTTCAATATATGTTTCTCCATTGAAATGACTATTAAGAGTTACTATTTCTTATAACAATTGATTTTATAACATGTATCAAACTATTGCAAATTTGCCTAGATGGTAATGCTTATAACCTTGTGACTTACCTGATCATTCCTAAGTTTCTTTGTTGTGGCCCAGGAAAAATGTTTATACTCTTTGTAACTTTTCTGCTACTCTACAGCTTCACTGCCATGGGACTTCACATATGGTTCTCACTTTGCTATTTAATGCAGTGGTAACAAAAGTTTTACAGGGATGTGAGAAATGATCCAATTTTAAGTTTGTTAAGCCCACCTAGAAGATAGCGGCAAAGTGTGATGGAAAGGTGATGTTTATAGATTCAATTGAATGCATTACAAATGATGATGGATACAGATTTAGAGATGGCAACTTACTCCACTCATATTCCAATCCTTCCATGTCTAGAATAGTGCTCAATACAGATTGCAAGAAGAAAAATGGAACTATGGTTCACACTGATATTAATTTAAATTTGGTAGCCTCCTATTGAGTAAAGCTTTTTTTACCTATACTTCCATGTTTGCCCCTACTTGCAAAATAGTGACAAACAAAGAATGTAAAGAAGAAAAAAAAAAAGAGAATTCAGCCTCAAACCCCAAAGGCATGAGTAAAGATAAGCATATATTACTTTTTCAACTCTACTTTGCACAAACAACATAAGTAGGAGAAAAGATAGTTAATTCAATATAAATACATATAACATTGAATTAAGGTTGTTTTCTAGCATTTCTAAGTGCTATTTATATACTACATAATTTTATAACCATTCTTAACTGCTTCATGTTTGTCTATGACAAGTGTTGTCTAGGTTAGGTCTTTTTTCTTTAGATGCTTAACCTTAAGCACAACTCTATTTTGCTTAAGTTTTTTTCTTTTGCTCTGCTTAGGATGATATGTAAAATAAAACATTTATTTCTTCTTCACTCCCCCACGACAAAACTATTGTCTATCCTCATGTAGTCAAATTTTCCAAATCCTACTTCAAGTTGCTAAGCTTAGTCTTTATAATGATAAGTTCAACACTTTGGCGTTGATTGTCGAGTTCCTAATGCATAATTTGATTTTTCTGGTTGAGTATTGCAATATACTGGTCTTGGTGGTTGATGCACTCTACATCGGTGGATGTGGAAGCCGGGATTGCAGTCTTGAGTTCTTGAATTATGTGGCATTGATGATTCTACTCGCCCATGACACCATCCACTTTCTTGGTGATTGTTTTGAGGTAAATTAAGATCTGCACATGGTATTTTAGTGTTTCTTTGCCTTTTACTGGTTGCATCAGCTTGTCAATTGGCTGCTTGCCTGCTCCTTTGATGTGTTGAGCAAGTTACTCCATAAAGCTTTGGACTGCTAGCTCACTTGACTAACTTGTGGTCTTGTGAGCGAAGGTGTGACTAGCCTTGACCTTGTAATGTTGTTGTGGTGTTTACTACTACTATGGTTACCTCATCTCACTAAACTAATTGACCAAAGGTGTGTCACTGTCAGATGTATAGGTGGATTGAAGAAAACTTAGCCCATACTCCTTTGGTTCATTTAAATATTCTCCTCTTTGTCCCATTAAGTTTCTTGACCCTAATTTTCTTGGCCTAAACTCACCTCATTGGTTGATGGTTTTGCAACATTTGTAGGCACACTATGTGTTGGACTCTATAATCTAAATTGTGGAATTTCTTCCATAACTTCGGCATCCATTGTTGTCCTAGTGTTGTCCATTTGTGTACTCATCACTTCCCCAATGCTCGAAAAAATTTGTATTGGCATCGGAGTTGTCTCTATAAATGCAAACCAATCACGTGGTGTCGATCCAATAAAGCCCAATGGATCCATGCTGCCACTAACACCCACCAGCAGTAAAACAGGATCAATAAAGAGTAAAAAGAAAAGAACTTAACATTTGGAACAACCAAATAATCAAATAATAATAGCCAAAATAAGTTAGTGGTCTAAAGTCATTGGACTCTAATATAAATTCAGTGATTAGATAAAAGCATTTGAGTTGTGATGGCTTTTCAAATCATTTCAATGCTTATCTTTGAAGTGTTTATCTTTCTCAATGCATTGCAAGTGAGTGGCAGACGAACGTTGCTGAAGGAGCATGCTCTTCTACTTGATTCAGCAGGAAAAAGCTTACAAACTCAGGTTCCTCATGCTGCATCTCCTCACCTTCCAGGATATGCTTGGCCACCGTCAAGCCACATTCCACCATTCCATCAAGCTCCTCCTTTTATTCCCAGGCCACCTTCACCTTTTGCTAATTCAGCACCATTTCAGATTCCCCCTTCTGGTCATTTCCCCCCATTTCATTTTCCCCCTTCTATTCCAAGACCAGGTGGCCAGTTCCCACCAATCAATTTTCCCCCTTTCATTCCAGGACCACCTAGTGGCCATCTTCCACCATTTCACCCTGGTTCCCATTTCCCTCCTTCCAGTTTTCCACCATTTCACATCCCAGGATCACCTTTTCACGTTCCAAGCCAGAATTAAATTTGGTTGTCAACCAAGTTTGAAGTTCCTGTGAAGTCATGTGATTTCTCATTCTTAAATGTCAAAAGAAGTGTTTTCTTTCTGAGTATCGAATCCTACAGCAATGCTACAAGTCGAACCTCTTGTACATGGTTCTACAAATCGGGCATAAGAGCTCTGCCGATGCATGGAACGCCTCAAACTCCGAGATGCAATGGCTATGGAATAAGTGGCTGCAGCTGAGCAGGCTAAGGTTGGATCCTCCATCCTTTTGCAGCGGCATTATGCAAATGGAACAATCAATGTCATATCTCTCAATAGCCTGGAAAAATAATGATAAGCTTGAGATAGATGCAAGAAAGAACGTACCTTTTCGATCACCTGGTGCCAATTAAGATCGCTTTCTTCATTAAGATTTAAATTGTCCACCTCCTTCGTTTGATCTCTGCTGCCAAGAACATCGTAAATCTGCTTACTGCTGGCCAGAGTATTGTCGATGCTGGCCAAGAGGAGCTTCACATTGTCTTCGTCTACAGCCATTTGATCCAGCAGTCGGTTTGAAGCCGATTCAAGCTGATGCTCCCACAGGTTTAGAGAAATATGCAAAAAGAAAAGAACCAACCTTTTTTGCAAACCATTCCTTTCGTTTGCCTGGATCTTCAGGTGGATGTCTCCATTTGTACTCAGCGTAATCTCTCCGACACTTGTAAGCCCTGTACGCCGTCTGTATCCTTCACGAAAGCAATGGAAAGACAAACACTTCGCTTTGATGATAAAAGCTTGGAATTTCCATGCCTTGTTGCAAAGAAGTTCTTGTACAAAGTCGATGGTATCCTCACGGCCATGGTTTGATAGTGCTCAGTCCGGCACACCGGGCAGCAGCGTTGCCTTGAGAACTTCTCAAAACGTTTCAAGCATTGCTGCAAATATTGGCACCCTGATGTGATTTCCGTGGCACTAAAAGACCATCCGTGAAGAGCTCCAAACCTTGTGAAAGACATGAGAGCAGCTGAGTAAAAGCTGCAAAGAAAGAAAAAAAAAAAGAAAACTAAAGATTGTGGCCATTTTGCAAGAGACCACTCACTTACCTGGTCTCCACGAATAAAAATTTCGTGACAAATTGGACAGCCATGCAGTGCGTCCCTCCTCGCCATCGACTGCTCGCGAGCGATTCGCCACTCTTCTTCCGTCAACTCCCCTCTGGGCTTCGTAACAAGTCCACATTGTTGTGCTATACACAAAGAAGAAAAGAAAAGCAAAGCAAGGAAAGCTCGTGAAAATCATATGAGAAAACAAAGAGTTTCTACAAACCAAGACTTAGATGAGACAAGATTTGCTGTTGCTGCTGCTGTAGTCCTTGATGATAGCGAATCTGTGCAAACGAAAAAATGAGAATAAAAAAGAGAGAAAGAGACGATCGAGAGGAAACTTGCCATGCCAAAGCTTAAGGACCTCGTGAAGTGATCTTGGAGGGCTACTGCATTGAGCACCGCTCGCTGCATAAAAAAGGATCCATCATACAATCTTCCAATAGAAACGTTAAAAGAAGTGATAGCTTACGCCAGAAACATGGTGCTGCTGCTGATGATCTCTCCGCCTTACGTTGATCATTGATCTTTCGCGAGCGCCCGGATCTTAATAGGCAAAAGAAAGAAAGGAAAACGCTAGAAACCAGTGACCACAAGAACCCTAAAATGCAGGCTGGAATTTGAAAATGGAAAGAAGCGGGAAGCGCAGGCGTCCATCCGTTACAGCGCCTAAATCCGCAATTCTTCTATAAACCCTAAGGCAGTTTTTAGGGCTATTTGGCCGATAAGCACAAACCCCAGGTGGATTTTTCTCGCGATTTTGTGTCGCCATCGCCAGATCGCCATCGGCTGCTCGATTGTGCGTCTGACGAATTGGAGCGAGAGTCCCAGTGGAGGAGCTGCTGTTTGTCAGTTTCCCGGGGATCAGTGCTTTTCCTCTCTTTCGCGATGAATGCGACCGCGGTGAGGTCATTGAGGTAGACCTTGATTTCTTTATGTGTTTCTAATCGATCTAATCGATCCATCCCACAAAGAATCTAGAGGAGGCGGGGGAGGGTTTTTCCCTTTTAGTGCTGTCTAGTGTTCCAATGAGGGATTCCCCGACTGTAGCGAGCGAGGGAGTTTGAGCGAATAGTTCTTCTTCTTTCTCTGTGCCTTTCTCGCTTCTAATCTTTCTTTTCTTTGCTGGTGTCTTGTGTTCTTGGCGTCCGTGCATGGACCGAAGTTTTTGATCCACTGCTCTTTCGTACAAGGAAGTCTAATGTGACTTGTCGCCACTGGCTGGCTCAGTGGCACACTCCTCTGGCCAGTCTGTATGGGACGGAGTTTTTGTTTTGCTCCACCACCACCGTCGCCACCACCATCGCCGCCACCTCCGCCATTGCCGCCAGTGGCAGCAGGATGAGTTCCTTGGTGGCGAGAGATCACAAGGTGCTGGTGAAAGCTGGAAGACCATCTTCCTCCTCTTCTCGTTGCTGGAGATCCCCTCTCGCCTGGTTCTACCGCATTTCCTCTTGGAGATCCAGGCTTCTTCTCGGGATCTCGATGCTGATTTTTATCTTCTTGGTTTCGGCAGCGATTGTGAGATGGAACCAAGACGAGGCGAATTTTCTTCTCGTCTCGAGGTACGAAAAAAAGCTCGTCTTTTCCTTTTCAAACTTTGGTTCTTCACTGTTGCCTATGACTCACTTTTGATTTCCAGGCACCATCGCTACACGGTTCTCGTCAACACATGGAAGCGCTACGATCTCTTGCGAAAGTCCGTGGCCCACTACGCATCGTGCCGCGGTGTCGATGCGATCCGGGTGGTGTGGAGCGAGAGCGAGCCGCCCTCGGAGTCGCTGCTGGCGGCGCTGGAAAAATCCATCCGCGCCGCCGAGAACAACCCCGAGCTGGAGCTCCGTATTGACATCAACGACGAGGACAACCTCAACAACAGATTCAAGCCGCTCGACGGCGTCACCACCGACGGGATCTTCTCCATCGACGACGACGTTCTGGTCCCTTGCACGACTCTGGAGTTTTCTTTCCGGGTGTGGCTGAGCGCTCCTGATAGCATGGTCGGTTTCGTGCCACGGATGCACTGGGCACGATTGAAGGTGACTTCTTACTCGAAACCGCTGATTTTATTGTCCTGCTTTTTCGCTTCTCTCTCACATCCAAAGATGTGATTTTTCTTTGGCGCTTCTGATGGAAGTTTCAATTTGCGTGCTCCTTGATCTTGCAGAACAACTGGAAGCAAATCTCGCCAACTTTCCGGCCGGAGCAGCCGACTTTTACGTATGGAGGCTGGTGGTCCGTTTGGTGGATGGGGACCTACAGCATGGTTCTTACGAAAGCGGCATTTCTCCATCACAAGTATCTCGAGTACTACACGCTCCAAATGCCCGCTTCCATACGGGAGTATGTCGCAAACCAGAGGTAAGCGAACGAAAAGAAACGGTCTTTTACTTGATGTTCTTCACTTCCAGGAACTGCGAGGACATTGCCATGTCTTTCATGGTCGCGAACTTGACAAACGCTCCTCCGATCTGGGTGAAAGGTAAGGTTTTGCTTCTCGCAAATTCAGCTGTGAGAAAAAATGTTTTTTTCTCTCTTTCTTTCCAGGAAAACTCTACGAGATTGGGTCGAGCGGGATCAGCAGCTTGAAAGGCCACGATGTCCATCGCACGGTGTGCGTGAATTTTCTAGCAGCTCGCTACGGCTACATGCCGCTCGTGGCAAGCAATGTCAAAGCCGTGGACGCAAACTTGCAGTGGTTTTGGTGAGAAAACTTTGAGAAACTTTCCTGATTCATGCTCGGAGAGAAAAGAGCGAGAAAGAGAAGAAAAGCTCCTAGAAGTCCGAGAGTTCAATGGTTATAACTCTCTGCAAATAGAGGGAAAAGAGACTGAGAAACCAAAAAAGAAGGCTTTTGCAAAGAGTTCTTACCGTGCCGAGCTGTGATCTTAGCAGCCGATTCTCACAGCGCTCGCGATGCCATCCCCGCCCCAAAATCACGAGACCCACCACTGCGGCGGCCGCGACTGCTAGAGACAGTAGCGGATTGGATTGGCGAGCGCGCAAGACAATCTCTGAGGATTGCCGCTGCAACCAGGCAGCCATACCCACTGTAAGCTCCTCCTTTTCCTTGCTCACCTTGTTCTTGTCCTCCGATTCTCCCAGCTGCTGCTTGGAATCACTGGAATTAGTTGCAGCGGCCGAGCTCTTGGGATCGATCGAGGCGGTGGACATGGTGAGAACTTCCCAATCGCGGCACGATTCATCCGCCATGGCCTCGGATCTAAATTTGCTTCTCCCCCAAAAGCTTTTAGGGTTTTTCAAAAAAACCGCCAAAAAGTAACCGGTCCTTGGTTCGAATCGCTATTTGGGAAAGGTATCCCCAATAACCAGATCCTTGGATATGCCTCCACCACATAAAGGTTATTTTGAAAAGGGGGTTTAATACATATATTAGGGTTTATTCACAGGTTTTTCATTTGTAACTGGGACGAAAGGCGCAATGGGCGTTGTTCGAGAAGGTTTGCTCGTTTCTCTAGATCATTTCTTCGTTTCCTTCGATTCTAGATGACTTTTAGATCGCTTCTCCTTCTTGGCTGATCGAATAGTGCTTTGATTTTGTGGTCTTTCTAGATGAATTGGATGGTTTCTTGGAGATCGCTGTGGATGCCGCAAAGCAAGCCGGCCAGGTCGATTCATCCTTTGTAAAGTTCCTCTTTTTCTCACTGAAAAAGTTTTTTTTCTTGCAGATAATCGCTGGTAGCTTTCACAGCCACAAGAATGTAGAGCATAAAGGAAAGGTGGATCTGGTAACAGAGACGGATAAAGCTTGCGAGAAGCTTATTTTTGAGCTCTTGCAAAAGCATTTCCCGGATCACAAGGCAAGCTCTCTCGACTTTACAACTTCCCTTTGTTCCATGGAAAAATTCTCACGAGTTCTTCACAGTTTATCGGCGAAGAAACCTCGGCTTTGAATGGAACCGCGGAGCTAACCGACGAGCCAACGTGGATTGTTGATCCGCTGGATGGCACCACAAACTTTGTGCATGGATTTCCTTTTGTCTGCGTTTCGATCGGCCTCACGATTGGGAAGGTACCTTCGGTCGGAGTTGTATACAATCCCATACTGAACGAGGTACGCACAGAAACTACAAAGTATCTCTCTCATTTCTTCTTTGGTTTTTTCCGTAGCTCTTCACCGCTGTCAAAGGAAGAGGTGCCTTTCTCAATGGCAGCAAAATCACTGCATCATCTCAGGACGAGATTTATAAGGCTTTGCTTGCCACAGAGGTTTGATTTGCTCCTTCTTACTTTTTTTTCTTCTAATCTTTGCCTTGCTTTTACAGGTTGGAACGAAGCGAGACAAAGCGACTGTGGACGAAACCACTGACAGGATCAACAACCTTCTTTATAAGGTGACTGCGAAGTTTACGTCTTTTCCTCGTTTTCTTTCCACTGGTCTTAAAGGATGAGTTCTCGTGTCTCGCAGATTCGCTCCCTGCGCATGACCGGATCTTGTGCGCTCAACCTGTGCGGTGTCGCTTGTGGAAGGCTGGATATCTTCTACGAGCTGGGATTCGGAGGCCCTTGGTGAGTGCAAAGAAAACGTTTTCTCGATCACTTGCTTGATACGATCGTTCTTCCTTGCAGGGATATCACGGCAGGAGTTGTGATTTTGCAAGAAGCCGGAGGGCGTGTGTTTGATCCGTAAGTGGAAAAAGAAAAGAGAAAAGCTGTCGGTTTTTTTTTTTTTCGCTAACGTGATTGGTTTTAATGCAGGTCGGGAGGGCCATTGGAGCTCATGTCCCAGAGAATCGCGGCCACGAATTCACACCTCCAGGACGCTTTCCTGGAGGCGTTACACAAAGACTGACGAGAACAAAGACGAGTCTCTCTCCATTCATTCATTTACACTTTCATGGACAAGAGCAAGAAAAACGATGGCTGATTTATATCTTCATGTAGAAAGAAACACCACAAAGGAAAGCAAAGAAACATTCTTTCTCTTCGCATCGTTTTTTCACGATGCTTCTATCTCTTGCAGCTGCCCGTAGGACCTCTTCTTTCTCGCAGGAGTAGCCTCAATCACCAAAACTTTCTCCAGCTCCTCGACAACTTTAGCCATGGACGGCCTCGACTTTGCGTCGTCTTGGATGCACCACACCGCAACGTCAATCCCTCTCCGGAGCTGCTCGAGATCGATGCTACTCAGCCGGGGATCCGCGACCCCGACGTAGTTGCCGGCTTTTACCTGCTTGGAAACCCAGTCCACGAAGTTCCACTGCTCCGACTTCTGGCTCAAGTCGAGGATCCTCCGGCCACCAATTATCTCGAGAAGGATCATCCCAAAGCCGTAGACGTCGGTCTTGGTCGTGAGAGGCGAGTCGGCAATCCACTCTGGGGAGAAGTATCCGTGAACTCGGCCGCTGCTCAGAGCCGTCTTGATTTTTCTCCTGTCGACGAGCAAGCCCAGGCCGGTGTCGGAGATTTTCGGCTGGAAGTTCTTGTCCAGGAGGATGTTTTCTGTTTTGAGATTGCCGTGGATCACTGGAACCTGCTGCTGGTGGAGATATGCGACGCCCCGAGCGACTGAGAGAGCTGTGTCAAACCGGAACTTCCAGTCGAGCCGGTTGTCCTCCGAGTCTTCGAAGAGCAACTTGTCCAGCGAACCATTTGAAAGAAACTCGTAGACGAGCATTTTGTTGTCGGGGCCACAGTCCGCACAGAAGCCGTGGAGCTGGACGAGGCTGTCGTGAGACAAGAAACCGATCTCGGAGACGCAGTTGCGGAAGTCCCTGTCGCTTGTGTTTATCTCGAGCTTCTTCACGGCGACCACCGTCTCGCTGTCCGGAAAAACTCCTTTGTAGACGGAGCCGAGAATTCCAGCTCCGATCTTGTCGCTGAAGTTCCGGGTGGTGGCAACGATGGCTTTGAAGGAAAACTGGACAAGCTGAGGTGATCCTGCTGCAGAGATGATCGAAGCTGCTGTCGTCGAAGCCTTGGCTCTTGGATCGAGAAAGCGCTGCTTTATGAAGATTAGAGCTGCCACCAGTAAGAGACCTCCCACAACGATCAGGGACAGCACTCCGGCAGCAATGCTGGCTGCCGGGAGGCCATCCTTGTCACCATTGGGAACTTGCGTAGAGTTACTACCAGGCCCGTGCTTTCTAGCCTGCTGCTGAGCTTCTGCGGCTCCGATACTACACGTAAGAACCCCGAAAAAGAAAGAGCTTACCGCCACCATCGCTGCTGCCTGTTTAGCTTGGAGGAGAGCACAAACATATCTCTGGTGTCGTCGAGAAAGCCATGAACCTACAGAGATATTAGTAGCGCAGCAGCATTGAATTTAAAGACTTACAGCACGAAGTCTTCAGGGTCATAACTCTCCAAGCCAAACACCGCGTGTGAGGCTGCTTAGCTGAAAACTTCAAACTGAGAATCAATGTGTTCTGGGACCCTGGATTGAAAAACCTCTTAGACCAACCAGCTGATAGCTAGCTGAGCTGAAAGAAAAGAAAAGTTAGTAGACTAGTGGTCACCGCTATACGGGACAATGAATGCTCGCCGAAACCATGGCAAATACCGAGCTTCCAACAGTCGCTTTCGAATTAAGAATAGAACTTGCAACCTTTGTCTTCCTCGAAAAGAACACACAAAAACACAAATGATCTGTGAAAGGAAAAAAACGAGAGAGTTACAGTATCTGTACACTGCAGTCTTTTGTTGCTTAAGCCTGTCTCGGCCGAGGTAAGGCCGTTGGTAGCACCTGATCTCGTCTATCAGTCAGAAATCTAAATAACGACGAAACAGCGGTGGTTCTTTTCTTTCCAAGGAAGCCTGATGAGGACGCTTGAGAATCTGGAGAAAAAAAAAGAAAAGAAAACATTAACCTTGCACCGTGCAAGCTAAGAGAAGTAAGGATACGCACCACTGGAGCTTGATACGTGAGGCAACGATTGCGAAGAAGTCGTCAGGGAGATGAGAAAGAGAAACGGCACAAAAAAGACGGTGACGGCCATGAAACCGATCGCCCAGCCGAGAGTAACATATGCACATCGTGGATGTTGCAGGAAAAACCGACTCCACATTATTACACTTAGAGCGCCAGCACCTGGAAAACATACACGAAAACAAAGTTGTTTGAGCAACGAGCTTTCTGAGCATGACGCGGCTCACCCGAGCTCCCGAGAAAAATATTTGAAGTTGGATCAACAATCGGATACGTCTTTAGAAGCTGAAGGTATAGTACGTGAGCTCCAATTCCAGAAAGAACGCAAAAAAACGGGAGGCCATCCACAACAAAGAGTAGAACGTAGATAGCTAGAATTCCCTGAAACAAACAGCAATCTTCAGTGTTTCTCTAGCTCGAATTCGTCTCACCTTAATCGAGATGCCGATGATCTTTCTTGTTAGCTGCGTGTGTTCTTCCGCAACCTCCGCAAGGTAGAACAATCCGGCGGCTGAATAGCTTCGTGAGAAAGAAAAGTGAGCTGCGAGAGCGACTCCTCACCTATTCCGAGTGACAAGAAGGAGAGAATGAGAAAGATTCCAGTGAATGCCGAGATTGAGGAGAAGAATGCGGCGCTCAACCCCGACCAGCTCGATGTGGCATGGGCAGTGTAGCCGTAGTAGCCATAATCCCGCCCTCCTCCATACCCAGCCATTTGAGCTTGAAACCCTAAAACTTACGGCTCGTTACTGGGGGCGTTCGAATCTCTCAGGTAACGTGATTTCTTCTTCCTGATTGATCAGACCATTATCTTAGCTCTGCGGAGTTTGTTACCTCAAAGCAAGCCTAATTTGAGAAAATTCTTGCATTTACCCTTTTAGTGAATTCTTGAAATTAACTAATTTTTTTATTTATCTTTATTAATCCTAAATAATAAAAGAAAATAATTTTGCTAAGTGTTGCATGTAACAATGTTTAGTTTATTTAATAGTAATGTTATTCCAGTTTATATTATAAACATGTTTATAATTTATAAATATATGAGGGAAAGAGAATATAGAACAATTAGCCTAAAAACCTTAATCTATCACAATAAGGAGTTGCCAAACTTTCTGGGCCGCCGGATCCAGCCAATCGCAGCCGTCCGATGGGGGGTAACTGTAAAGGGGTTATTTCTTTAACCATGTCTTAGTGAATAATCGCGTTGATGTTTGCTCCCGGCCAATGGGAGGTGGCCAAGTCATGTGGGGCGGGAGAGGAAGGCACAGTGACGCGTGGCACATGCAAAGTGTTGACCGGAGATTGCTGCTCCAGGGTGTCACTCCGGGCAGGATCAAGTAGGTCACAGCCCTTGGAGCATGCTGTGGATCACGATTTCTTCCGATGGGTAAGCAAATCCACTCCCAAATGGTTGCTGCTGGCTGGGATTCGAGCTTGATCGTGTCTACTGCGGTGATTGACATGTATGCCGCGTGTGGCAGCTTGCGAGGCGCGATCCGTGTGTTCCAAGGGATGAAGAAGAAAGATGTGGTGGCCTGGACAGCAATAGTAGCAAGATTTTGCTCCTAGAAGGATTCTTTGTGGCCTTTGACAGGCATTACGAATGACAGCAGGGATCCCTGCGTCGACACCTTTGGCACAGCAACACTGCCAATGCTTAAGCACTTTGGTGTTCCAATCAAAGGCCTAGAACTCAAGGTTGTTGCCCGCGGAGCTCCTCCCTTGGGTGGCAGGAAGTCGTCCTCAAAGTTCCCATTGTCCCCAAGAGCCTCATGGTCAATTTCTCCAAACTCCTCTTCTTTTCTTTCTCTCCTCGCTAAGAATCCTTCGCCAGGCTGCTACATGGGTGTGGTGAAACGTATTTGAGGAGTGAGTTACTCCACATGCGTCTCACCTCATATGGCCAATCGAATGTGGCATGCTAAATCGCTTGCTCCCTGACATGTACATCTTTACTGATCACTACACTGGTTCGGAGTCCGGGAAGTAAGTTCCATGATTTTGTGCTGCAAAGTAAACTTTTTTCATCTTGCTTCCTTTGTCATGGCACAGATCTCCGGGATATGGGATCTCATTGGTGGCAGAAACGACCACTGGCTGCATTTTAAGCTCCGAGTGCGCGGCTACGCATTCAGGAGCATCCAAGCTCCAGCTTCCAGAGGACCTGGGGACGCAAGCAGCCATGTCCTTGCTACAGGAGATAAAGCTGGGAGGAGTTGTCAATTCAACTCACCAAGTATTTATCTGTGAAGCTGGAAAGGAGAGAAGGCGATCTCACAAACTTTCCTGTTTGCCATACAGGGGTTGCTGTTCCCGACCATCAAAGAATTCTTGGGAGTACAGTTTAGTATCAAGCCTGACCCAAATCAGTTATATGGAACTTTTTCTAGAAGCCATCGGTCTTTTCCAGCAGCAGTGCGTCCACTCTCCTTGATGTGCACAGCAATTCGAGCTGCGGCCTCAAACTCCAGCCAGCCATCCACGACGATCATCTGCCTCTCATTGTCATCATCTACTGATGCTCCCACTGAAGATAAGAAGCTGGAATATATTTTGGACGCCTTCATCGAGCGAAATAGTTATTGTGAGTTTTGCATGTGCCTAATGACGTGGCAATAATTAAGCAGGCCTTTGGGCCAACGGTTGTGATTAACCCAAAGTTAATCAATTGCTTCATTCAGGATTGCCCTCTCTGATGGCAGCGGCAGCTAGTGATTCTGATGTGGGGTCTCAAGATCATGTAGATTACAATTACCAGCCATCGCCAGATGATGTTTCTTCACAGCAGCAACAAGTTCTAGGTGATGTAGAAATGGGTGGAGAGAACAGTGAACAGGTTTGTGTTTATCTTGATAAACCAGAATTTAATCACTTTTCTTTCCAGGATCTGAGCACCTTACAGAGCTTAGTGCTTCAGGTACTTAGTCTATTCCAATATAGTGCTTTACAGCTTGACAAATAAGTGTACAAGAAGACTTCAAACAGCCATTACAGCCGTTACATTTCCAAAGTCCCTTTGCTATTTTAGCAGGTACTAGCACTTGGCTTTTTTGCTTTATAAACCTTCTCTGTGGCCTGATCCAGGTGCTCAGACACAAACTTCCAGCCAAGTGCCCTGTGGGATTATAGGAGGTACTACTCAATTTTAGAATTTTTTTTTTAGTTATGGGTTTGTAACGGGCTTTTTTAGCTAAGTGCAAATTATATAGCATTCTAGACCCTGGCATATAGAATCTGATTGCTTCTTCTAAGGAAACACAATATGCATATGTTCATATTGCGGATCTACAGCTCTATTCAGGTAGTGAGCCGCTTCTTATATATGTATTATCTCGGTACGGCAGTTATGATTTCCAACATGAGATCCACTCAACAAGCATGGCATCAACATCAAGGTTCCTTAATATCGATTTCACTGACAACTACGGTATGCACCTTGCGACAGCTTCAATGGCAGCCAACGCTGTTGATAAATACAGCCACCTTTTCAAGCCATCTAACTGGCTGTGTATTCAACACTACAAAGTCAGAGCTAAAAATCTAAAATATCATTTGGGGCTCCATCGTCTCTCAGTAGATATTTCTATGGCCACACATGTTCGAGCATGGCTAGAGAAGGCTCCTCCAATGCTTGATTTTGTCAGACCATCAGACATTGTTCCACTAAGTAAGTTTGCAGTGGATGCTTCTGCTTATACTTTTTCAACGGTTGCTGAGGCAATCACTAGTGTAGATCAAACACCTAACACTACAAACATCATATTCATTGCTGATGATCTTGAAGCTGAAATCACCTATAAGGTATTTGTAATATTCTGACTGGATTTTTTGGTGAACTTCAAACATAGGTGCATGTGCTAGGTGATATGGACCATATCTATCATGAGCTCAAATCATCATGGTTTGCTGGGGACATGCCAAGTCATATTTTTTACAATCTACAAGGAACTAAAGATAAAAATGTGTTTAGGATTGCACCCTTGACTATTGTCTTGAAAATTCCTGACGATACGCCTTGGGACCATATATAGAAGCAGTTGCACTCTGTCTCATTCATATACGGAAAGAACTTCTTTGGGGTACGTCTCTCTTGATTTATACCAGCCATTCAAAACACATGTTTTGTCAATAGGTGCATGGCTATTTCATCCCTGAAAACCTCAAGCAATCTCTGTTTGTTGCGGCTGCCATGTTTGCAAAAAGTTTAGGGTCGAGAAACAAACACGAGATATTGGTTGGTGCCACCATTGCAAGAACGAACGAACGTTTTTTCAAACTTTGCGGGTCCATGGCAAATTCTATCTAGATACTGGTCACCCCCAAGATGTTTGCATGGAGGACACTTATATAGACCAAGCATATGGTTTCACTCTTGGCCAGTTTCTAAGAATGTTCACTTCTACTTGAATGCTTGAGGCAATCAAACTTTTGGAGACAAAGAAGCCACCAATAGGCCACTTCTTATTTTCGACTGGTGCCGATCAAAGCTCACCAAAAGTTATTGCATTCAAGGCTGATTAGAGTACTGTGCACTTTTATTTCCTGTTCCAGTGTGCTTTCATTTCCTGTTCCTGTGTGCTTTTATTTTCTATTTGTACAATGTATTGTCTATAAGCTTGCTGCATAGTTGTTTATGGGATCCATTGTATTATTACAACCTCAAAGTCTCTTGCAAGACTCTCTAGAATGTGAGCTTCCCAATCGCTGCATTGCTCCACTTGTTGCAGTAGGCCAGCAACGTCATCCATGTCACGAAGCTGGGCTTGAAAGGCATCGTCCACCACGTCCAGAGCTTCCTGGATTGCCGCCTTGCACAAGGCTGTAACTTGCATTAGACCAACAAAAACATTTTTTTTCAAGAAACTTACGTGCATGCTGTGCTCATCAGTGTAAGATGACCTTCATGCAATGGATTAAAATCACCAGAAAGAACGACCCTTCTGCTGGTTCTACAGTCTTTGCTACCTGTATCACAACTTATGAAAAAACTAACCACTGAGCAAATTTCGAAATACCTTCACCAGGATAATGGACCATGCAGACATTTCCATGTATTAGCTGCTCGAGCTCTTCGTCCTTTGTGTAATTCAGCCTAGAGTCTTGAATTTCTTCCTCAGGGCTCCTCAATTCTCCAGATACCGTATTTCCAATCTCACAAACATCAGCCATAGCCTGGACATAAATCAAAAGTTTGGGCGAACTGAAAAGCCTGGTCATAAAAATCATAACCTTGATCAGGAGCTGACTGGATAGACAATCCTCTCCAAAACAATCTCTATATCCCTGGAGATGAGAAAAACAATCGATTAAATTCGTTGCTGTAAATACACAAGACCTTGTAAAGAGTGAGGTCATATCTCCAAAGAGATGAATGTGTTCGAGCAGATATGTGGCATCTGGAAAGAAAAAATAAAAATAAAAATCTTCCATGGCGAACACAAAAACAAAGTCACCTGTGATCTCCTCGCTTGGGACTCCCAGTTGTCAACGCACCAGAGTGCCTGCACTGCATTCCAAGAAAAAATCCACTTGCTCGATCAAAAAAAAACTATTTGCATGCAGCACAAGTTATTTATAAAGCTCAAGAGCTGCCATCACTGAAAATTGTGGCTACATTCAAGTGACACATTAGAGATGTCCCTAAGATCTGATAAATGACAGTATACCTAACTTTCTCTACAAATGAGACCGTTCATGAGGAGACATGGATACCAGTTGCTTCCAAATGCTTCCTTTCTATAAGCTTCACCATTCTTCAATTTGAAAAAAAACTCCATAGTGCTGGTTTCGTCAGTCCTATATTTTATAAGCATTAGCATCTAAGTTCAAATTGACAGCAACAAAAAAAAGTTTACCCTAAGTGATTTAACAAATCCTTTAGCGAAGGGAAGTGGCCTTGGTATAGTTTTCTTCAGAATCTTCAGAATAAGAATCCAAAATCTACAAACGCAAAGAAGTCTCATAATACTGGAAATCCCACCAAACTCTCATGTTTTTTAGAAAGGTTTTTACGATATAGCAAATGAAACGTCATTCCCAAATGTAGCTAAAATGCATTCCTACACTTACGACATCAAACTAAAGCATAAGGAAGTTGGAGAAGAGTACTTGGTGTAGAACTACATTGCTGTGGCGATTTACCTGTTTTCTTGCAGTACCTGGCACTTGGTCTTGAAGAAGATGACATGGGCGGAGCAAGAGCTACACTTGCTATAGACGCCATGATTGAAGCTAAGAGCCGGCAGAATTGGCTTCACTTGCGGCTCCTTGTGGATTCTCCACACGGACGAGGCTGGCAGTGAAATCCCACTCCTAGGCGACAGCGGCAGCGAGGGCCTGGAGGTGCAGTTTAGTATCAAGCTTGACCCGAATCAGTTACATGGAATTTTTTCTTACCACACTAGAAGCCATCTGTAGCGCACCTTATCTCTCTCCCCTTAAGCCACCTGGAAAAGGGGCAATTGCTTGATGAGAGAGCCCTTAGTGGCTATTTTATCCCCATTTATCCCCAAGGTTCCAAGCATGATCACATGTGTTACACTCACCCCCCCTTTAGAGATGTCAATGTCCTCATTGACTATTGACTAACACCCTTCTTTTAGAGATGTCAACTATTCCATGTGAGGCAACTAGTCATCCACCCGTACTGCAGTCCCACGGTGGATACCTTCGTCCGTGGATACTCTACACAATCCCCATTTATCCCCAAGGTTCCAAGCATGATCACATGTGTTACACTCACCCCCCCTTTAGAGATGTCAATGTCCTCATTGACTATTGACTAACACCCCTCTTTTAGAGATGTCAACTATTCCATGTGAGGCAACTAGTCATCCACCCGTACCGCAGTCCCACGGTGGATACCTTCGTCCGTGGATACTCTACACAAGAGGAAGGACGTACGCATGGATGCTTAATACATACGATTTCAAATTTAAGGGTAAGAATATATCTTGCTCAAGGGTATATTATATTTTAAGTAGCCACTAATCAATGGGAATCAAACCCGTGCCATTTGCTCTGATACCGCACACCTTATCTCTCTCCCCTTAAGCCAACTGGAAAAGGGGCAATTGTTTGATGAGAGAGCCTTTAGTGGCTATTTTATCCCCATTTATCCCTAAGGTTCCAAGGATCCATGGTGACAGTATATCCAAATCTCATCCCATGATCACATGCGTTACACCATCGGTCTTTTCCAGCAGCAGTGCGTCCACTCTCCTTTATGTGCACAGCGATTCGAGCCGCGGCCTCAAACTCCAGATTCTTGAGCTATGGCGACAAGCCTGACACCGCTGTAGCTAGGGCGGTGACAAACCTCGACACCTCGCAATGCCCTAGAAATCCCGCTCGCCCAAAAGCGCCAGATCCAATCCGTCACACTTTTTTTGCTAAATCTCACGATAACCCTAAATCTCACAATTAGGTTTTGCGCTTGAGGGCACGACCAAGAATCACAACAACTTGCAGCAAAAGGTCAGTTTTTCTTCTTAGTTTGTGGCACACCCTTCTTTGGCAAGTAATTGGAAAATCCTAGACAAGCACACAGAACCAAGCACACAGTAGGTTCATGTTTATTTATATCCCTAACCTCCACCACATAGTAAATACTATTTCATATTTCTTTTGCAAATTCGAGTTTGTTTACAAACA